TTGAAGCGCCTTAAAGCGATTGCACTTTTTTAACACGAGTTTGCTAATTTTATTTTGTACAATTTTAACATAATTTTTTGTATAAAACCAGGGTTTGTAATAATTTTAACAAAGGATAATATTTTATCGAATGTTTTGTAAAGGTAATATGCAATTTTGCAAGCATTTTGTTAATTTGAAAGGTTACAGATTATTTTGTAAATGTTTAACAAATTATTTCAGGCACAATCAAAAAATTTCCTATCAAATTTTGTTCGCAAAGTTTCAATTGCACAGCTAAATCGCACACGTTATTTGTGTTTCACGTTGCAAGTAACGCAACGCTTATATACAGGGTGTTTCAAAATAAGATGCTGAATTCTTAGTTGATTTTAAGAAAAAAAGTTCAAATAAACCTATAATCTAAACCTCTTAATTTTTGAGTTACAGGGTGTTTAAGTTTTAAGAAAAAAATCGTTTTTTATCATAACTTTAATAACTTCCTAGATATTTTTATAAAATTTGGCACACGTCTTCTAAGCATTAACAGTAAGTTTTTGATGTAGAAGATTTTTTATTTTTTTTACCATAGGCGTCGGTACAGGATGTGGTCTAGATATTTTTGGAAAAATATTATGCACGCCACTGCTATTTTTCAAAATAAAAATTATTTTTTAAATCCCCATTCATTTTAGGGCAAATTTGATTTCTTGACCATTTTTTGTACGACCAACAGTTTTCGATGAAAAAAATAAAAAGCATCCTGTACTGACGCCACTGGTAAAAAAAAATAAAAAATCTTCTACATCAAAAACTTACTGTTTATGCTTAGAAGGCGTGTGCCAAATTTTATAAAAATATCTAGGAAGTTATTAAAGTTATGATAAAAAAACGATTTTTTTCTTAAAACTTTATCACTCTGTAACTCAAAAATTAAGAGGTTTCGGTCATAGGTTTATTTGAACTTTTTTTCTTAAAATCAACTTAGGATTCACACCCTTAAGGTTCAGCATCTTATTCTGAAACACCCTGTATAATATATAGGTAGTTACGTAGTGTTTATGTATTTTATTTAAGTGATTAATTTAAATTATTGTGTTTTTAACTGTAAATGTAATTCAAAAACTAAATCGTTGCATTTTCATGTTTTGCCGAAGGATCCAATTTGGTGCGTATATTTGTTAGTGCAGAATTAACTAACGTTGACTTTACATATTTATATTTAAGTTTTGGCATTTTTAAGAAATCTAAAATAAATAATAATTGTACAAACATAACCTTAAAATAAAAAATTTTTATACATGGAATCCTTTAAAAAAACGCCGACAAAACTAAATAATAAACGACCAAATATATCTACGAATTTATGGCAACATAATATTGTATACAAATACCCGTTTTTGGTTTTTTAACGTTGATTCGAAACTTTCTCAATCTACGCTTTTAATGATGCATCTAATAAGTACAATTTATATTTACTGTATGCAATTTATTTCTTTATTCGGATTTCCACTGTTTTTTTGGTAAACCGGTAAAAACTTAACCCAGGATTTACAATCGAAAAACACCCAACAACACAACAAATCGTTCCACGTTTTTTCCCTCGATATTTTTAACATTTTTTAATCTTAACTCGGCGAAAGGCAGCTTTTCAGTGGTGAGTTGGGTCGATGGGTAAATGTTGTTTTTCGATCCTTGTTGTTGTGTAACATAAGCTTTTGACAGCTGATTGCGAAAAGTTGTAGTTTGGTTAGGATAATAACGGCAAAGTTAATTTTACTACTTGTACATAAACTGATATAACTTTGGTACTTATCGACATTTTTTTGTATATACTACTCAACTGATTGGGCAATAAAAAAAGGTTGGCCGTTTCGAGATATGTCCCTTATTGTAAAGTTACATTCGAAAATAAAAATAAGATTTTTGAGTTTTTCGGGCTAAAATACACTAAAAAAAAATAGTGAAATACAGTGGCGTAACAAGATAACTTGGGGCCCTGGTTTCAAACCCCCCTCTCATCTCTACAATATACATACATACATAAAAAAAAGGTAGGATTTATCATACGTAAATCGCGACAGAAGAATTTCCTGGAGGTATTGACCTTCATATTTTTGGAAAGTTTTAATTTTATTAAATATAAACAGTGTGACCCATTTGTTTGCGACTCACCCCTGTAAAATCATTATTTATTGTGAGATTTTAACCGGATTTGTTTTAGTGTAGATCTTGAGAAACTGTATTTTTGGAAAAAAAAAAACGCCATATTTTTACAAAATACAAGGCTTACTATAGGTTTGTTCGACTTTTACAATTCTGAACTGTTTAAAGATTGCGCAGAACTGTAGTCGCAGTAGATTTAGGTTCTAAACCGTTCTGAATTTTTAGTAAAATATTAAAAAACCAAAACGCTTACGGTGGTTTTTAAAATCCATGTAGGTATGGCTTGTACGAAGTTTGCAGTTAAACATTTAAGAATATTGAATTTAAAATTGTTGTTTATTTTTAATAATTTTTTATTTTTCATATTTATATTGCTATTAAAATAATTTAGTTATTCATGGGAGAGTGGAAGATCGGCTTTGCCGAACTCTTGCCAATTGTGAAATGTACCTTCTTTCTTTTTACAATAAACATTATTTGACCTGTCATATCTATATTGTATACTGTATAGCTTGTATGACCAAAATAAATGAAATGAAATGAAATTAATATATTATAAGTCTGAACTTTCATAAAGAAAATTAATCAAAGGTATTTTGTGATCGGACATGCTTAAATGCGAAAAACCAAAATAAAAGCACCTAACCTATAAGCATTGATTAAATCACTCAACGCTATAAGTATATAAACATAAATTAAAACGTAAGAGTCCAATGCGCAGGCGCCACGAAAACCGTCCTAAAGAGTACGCACTCTGAGCTCGTATTAGTTTGAACGGTTCTGGACTAGTCCTGAATTGTCCACAAAAGAAACCAAAACACGATATTCACCAGTTCCAAACTGGTTCTAAAAAAACCCGAACGCAAATTTCGTAATGCGCATGATTCTGACAGTTCTTAACCGTTCATTTCGAACCCGAACAAACCTTATGTCAGTTTTTAAGATTAAATTTTTAAGAATTCATATTAGCGATTTTTTTAAACAAAATCTGGATTCACCACTTCTCAAAACGATCCTATACTAAATTTTATTAAAAAATAGAGTAAAAAAATGCACAATAATAATTACAAAATTTTATTCTCCCAAGTTATCCATGAAAAAAACATTGAAATAAAATTAAACTAATAGTAACATGGTTTCAATAAAATTTAGTATAGGGGTGGTGAATCCAGTGCCGTCCTTAGATTTTTAAAAATTCGCTAATATGAATTCTTAAAAATTTACTATAGTAAGCCTTGTATTTTGTACAAATATGGCGTTTTTTGTTCCAAAAATAAAGTTTATCAAGATCTACATTTTAAAACAAATCCAGTTACAATCGCACAATAAATAAAGATTTTACAGGGGTGAGTCGCCAACAAATGGGTCACACTGTATAAATATATATAAATAAAACCGTATAAAACGACAACCGTATACAGTAAATGTAAAACGACAAACGACTTAAAATTTTTCGAATAAAGTAGTATTGACACTCAATAGTTCGTTTCTGCATGGTTTTTAAAATTACCACAAATTATTTGAATTCTTTTTTGGCGCTTTAACCCCCAATGGCGCGGGCCCTGGTGCCGCTATTGTAGTTACGCCACTGGTGAAATAGAATGTAATGGCTGTAAGCCAGTGTCATTAACATACCCCATTTCCAGTTCGTTATAACTTGGTGCCGTGACCAGGATTTATTTAATTTAATTTTGTTTTTGAATAATTATCTATAAGTCTCCGATAAATCAATTTTAAATTATTATAAGGTATTGGCCAGCCGAGTCCCCCAAATATTTAAAAACTATTAAAAGGAAATGCTGCTCCTGCACTGTTATAAAAATAAGATTTGTTAACATCAGTTTGTAGTTGGTTAATTTTATTTTGTAAAATTTTTACAGAATTTTTTGTATGCAACCTGGGTTTGTAATTATTTTAACAAAGGAAAACTTTTTAACCGAAAGTTTTGTAAAGGTAAAATGCAATTTTGTAAGCATTTTGTTAATTTCAAAGGCTACAGATTATTTTGTTAATTTTTAACAAATTATTCCCTTGAAAAAGTTCAAGTGATTTCAGGCAGCCAATCAAAACATTTCTAAGCACAACACACTTATCAACAAGTTGTGTCAGCGTCAACGGGTGTTTATAATATTTAACGGTGACAGGAATGTTTATAATGTCACTATTGGTTTTCAAATTAAAATTAGGCGACATAGTGAAGTTAAAGTAAATCAGTGTGTTTTAGTAGTACTGATAGTTATATTGTACCAAATTTCTATGTAATATGATAATTTCAGAATGGTGGGGTATGTTATTTTTGTGTTCATTTATGTAGGTGTGTGTTAATTATGTTGTATTTAAAAAATTGTTTAATAAAGCAACATTTCTTATAACAAATTCTCTTTTTTAAAGTTCCCAATAATTGTTTACAACAAATACTTTTGATACTGGGTCTACATAAAAGTTTGTAAAGAATACAAGAATTATGGTTGAAATTGACTTGAAATTTTGTTATTAATCTACAAAATATCTGTAATAATTACAAACTACTTATTCAATTAGTTAACAGATTACAGTTGGTTGTAAACTTAACAAAAAGTTATGTGGTCCTGGATTAACATAAAATCTGGTTATTATTTGGTTAAAATTAACAAATATTTTTTTACTGTGTGTAGGGTTGTCTTTGTTTCGGTTTTTCCTTAAAATGCTGAGTCAAATGTAAAAATAGATTTATCAGTTTTTGCATGTTTGCTCCACAATTGGTCTCTCGCACGTCCCAACGATAAAATCTGCCGAATTACCTCTTCTTAGGGATGCCTGTGCGTCGCTAATATCTCGCAAAGGACAAATTCAATGACATCCCTATTACTTTTCAGGGACCCGAATGGCGCTGTTCCAAATGCCTCGGCGTCCGAGGCCAAGAGCGGACCGCTCCACACGCTCCACGACGAAGGCATAGGCGGCGGCCCGAGTGCCACCCCCTACTGGGACACGTACGACACCATCAACCAATTCTATTTGGAACTAGGTAAGGGGAAGAATGAAAGGTTGAAGTGATTTTTATGGGACAAAAATTAAAAGTTTAAAAACTGATACAAAAAATAAAAAAAATGGTCTGCTTAAATTGAAAAAATAAGAAAGATTTAAAATACAATTTGTAAGGGTTTTGAAATTTGAAAATTTTGAATGTATGAAATTTTTATTAAATTTCAGATTTTTGAAAACATTAATATAAGTATAGTACGAGTATGTCCACGGATAGAGGGCCTAACAGGACAAATAGACTTAAATTTTCATTTTTCGACGTAGTCATTCTTCATAAAAAATTCTGCTTGTTTTGCTTTAAATTTGAAAATATTATTCAGGGTCGAAAAACAAGAAAACATGAAATACTATCAAGAGATACTTTTATTTTTCGTTTTGGAGCAAAGTAACAAATAAAAAAAAGATTTCATATCCTATACAAAGACTAAGTGTAAAATGTAAACTCAGTATTTCAAATTTTCTTTTTCTTTTAAAGTTTTAAAATTTAATTTATAATTTATACTTTTGTACTATGCTCCAAACCTCAAAGTCCTACCACGTGACCACGTACGGAACGCAGTCTTTTGAAAATTTGGCATTTAAGGCTTTTCAGGTTATGTATCTGTCAAAGTATAGTCAATGAAAGAAATAATATTTATAGTGTTACCGCTTATGTTTAAGCGTTAAAAGTTAATAAATCTTTATAGTATCACAATAAAAATAGTTGGTTTAAGAATTTATACTGCATTTAATAAAATTCCAAAGTGTAAGGTGCAATATAAGTGATATTTTTGTGCATTGGGTCTACATTTCTCCATAATATAGTTTTAACTAAACAGCATTTATTAAGAAAATCTAACTTCTCTATTATGAAATAAGGATATCTGTATCAAAGGTAGGTATTAGAACAAAAAATATAATCTAATTTTGTATTTTAAGGTTGGAAAAATTTATTTTGACCAAAATAAATAAGTGGATTATTTGGAAGAGTGTGTTAATATGGTCATAAATAAATATAAGTATACTAAATAATTGTTGAATATGGTTCAAATTAAATTGAAGCTTTTATACTTCTAATGAAAAAACTTCCTCTCGGCATACCTACCTAAGTTAGATTATATGAAAGTTAGATTACACAGTACAACACGATTTCCCTCCCATGAAAAATTTTAGCAGATTTTGAAAATAGAGGTAAAAAAAACGTACCCGTGTCTCACAGTTTCACGAGATCACGTCATAAAAAAATTTTAAGCCGTCATTCCTATTATTTATGCTTATACAGATTGTACATTTTTTACTCGGTTAAAAATATATTTTTTTGTAAATATTGTATGTTTTTACACAATACAAAAAACAAATATAAAAAAAGTTTATATTTTGATTTTTTTTAAATAATTTTTTTTTATTTTTTTTAATGAAACACATTTTTGTATTTATCTTATATTCAATACATGTTGGAATAAAATCTTGGTCGTTTAGTTTGACGATTATACAGCTCGTTCAGACTAAAACCGAATATATCTATATATGTATATATATGGGGCGTGGCCTCGCCTCCCTCCAACGCGCGACACAGTAGCTAAGCAAATAGACTGCATCGCTAATGAGATTTTTTGCATTATTATCTTTTAATTTTTTAAGTCCTTACCTGCTCGACCTTTCGTCATGTCGTTTATCACACAAGCAACTGTGACGCGCCTTGGAGGGAGGCGAGGCCACGCCCCATATATATATAGATATATTCGGTTTTATTCTGAACAGGCTGTATATTGCTTCAGAATCTCGAACAATTGACCAGCAATATTCACCCAGCAAATGCCTGACGTCTTTTCCCTTGAAGCGTTTTTCAATTGTTAAAATGTCTTGGTGAAAACGTTCGCCATGTTCGTCACTAAAATCGCCCAAATTTGGTGGAAAATAGTCCAAATGAGCATGGAGAAAATGTATTTTCAGTGACATATGTACTTTCATGTCCTGTGTTATAAAATGTACTTTATAACCCGAACTACAGGGAATAAATTCAGATTCCATCTCGGAAAAAATGGTTGTACTGGGTGTTAAAGGTCTTTTACTTTTATCCTCACATATGTTTTCTAAATGAGCAGTTGGATAATCTTCAGATCGCACTCTTGCGAGAATGACGGATTCTACATCTGCGTAATCAATTTTCTCTCTAGAATTGTACCGAAATCCAAAACTTTTTAATTTTGACATGCAGAAATAACACTGGTCAGATGCGTGTTCGGTACGTCGCGACGGGTCGAAGCCAAATTGTTGGTGCAACATATTTCATACTGTGTGTTATATCTTGCAATCCATGCAAACAACGGTAACAATAATCGCATAAAACCTCTGGTACATACCATAAGTTTGGTATATACGTCACCAAAAAATAGTCTTCAAAAGCTGTTACTACACTTTTTGTAATATTTCGCATATGGCTTGGAGGTGCAAATAAACCACATACATAACAAAAATTATTTCGATTCGGACACTGCATTTTTACTTTGATTTCAAATGGATGGTTAACTCAACAATTAAAATTAATATGAAACATTTATCGATTTATCGCTGCAATAATGTTTTTATTTAACATTTAAAAAAAAAGTATTACCCTCGTATAAAGATTGTTTTGAAAACAATGCTTTTTATGTATAAATGCCGCAGATGTGTAAATTTTTTGTTTTTTTGCTGTTTCAATTGACTTCGTATACTTAAATACTTTTTTTTACTTAAATTAAATATGTTTTAGGTACACTTGCTTTAAGACTTAAATCAATTCATTTAAATATCTTTTAATTTTTTTAAAAAATGTTAATTTAACAAAGCTCAATTTTTACAAAAAATTGAATAAATAAAAATTGTAATCACCCGACTTTAAATAATAATAATAATTATAATAATAATAATAATAATAATAATAATAATAATAATAATAATAATAATAATAATAATAATAATAATAATAATAATAATAATAATAATAATCTTTATTGATCCAAACGAAATACAACAGTATTTATAGGACAGGTCAGCATTTTGATTGGCTTAAAATTGAAACATTTTGTTACTTGGTTTAAAAATAAACCGTTTGATATATATATAAATGTGCAAAACTCTGTATAAAATTAAAATAATTTTAAAATGCATCTATAATGGTTGCCTATCCATTTAGTAAATATATATATTTTTAACTATGCAGTCCAGCTGTTATCGAGTCTATTAAATTATGTCGCGAATAGTGTGAATAACATTTTATTGGATAGCCCTTAAAAAAAAATTATGACGTGATGTGAAAAAACGCCGAGACACGGGTATCATTTTTTTAACTCTATTTTTAGAATCTGTAGAAATTTTTCATGGGAGGGACCAAAAATCAAATTTTGTCGTACTGTGTTATATGAAAACAAACAATTTTTAGAGAAACTTGCAATGTGAAAATATTTAATACTCCCATGACATGTGATTTATTAAAATTTTTAAGGTTATAATGATTTTTCGATGTAGATCAAGTTCAGTCGAAGCTTTTTAACTATTTGTATTGACAAAACTTTATGTAGGTACAGTTTAAGCTGGATAAGAAAAACTACCACATTTTTAAATACCATACCAGTCTTTTAAATAATCCAAATTACTTATTTATTTTGGTCAAAATAAATTTTTATAACCTTAAAATTACAAAATTTGATGATATTTTTGTTATAATATATTAACCTAGCTTTAAAACAGATATTCTTATTCCATAATAGAGAAGCTAGATTTTTTTAATAAATGATGTTTATTTAAAATTATTGTATGGAGGAAACCAGATATTTGGACCAAATGCACAAAAATATTACTTATTTGGCACCATACACTTTAGAATTTCATTAAATGCAGTATTTATATTCTTAAATTCTTAAACCATCCATTGTTATTGTAATGTTATATTTAGACATTTTTAACGCCTAAACATAATATTATTTCTTTCGTTGACTATACTTTGACCGATACATAACCTGAAAAGCCTTAAATGCCAAATTTTCAAAATACTGCGTTCCGTACGTGGTCACGTGGTGGGACTTTAAGGTGTGGAGCATAGTACCTCATGTCATGTATACTTTACCTACGTATAGGGTTCCCAACATCTGTTTAAAAAAAAGGACATTTTGTGTAAATTTACATTAATTACAAAAATGAACAATGTTACAATGCAAATTGTCAATTGGACGTTACTTGATTATTGTTGATTGCGTCATTTTTGTAATAAAGGTAAATTTACACTAAATGTCCCGAATTTTTTGACAGAAGTTCGGAACCCTACCTATGACAAAAATGTCAAAGTTACACAGTTTAAGATATTGTGAAATTGTGAAATTGTGAAATTGTGAAATTTCGTTTTAAAAATATTTTCAAAATGCCAACTATCAAACAAAATAAATAAAGATATAATATAAAAATACTGAGTTGAAATTTTACAATTAGTCTTTGGATAATAATAATAATAAAGTTTATTTCAAAAATAATGTTTAAAAGTTACAGCAAACAGACACATTAAATAGAAAATATAGTCAAAGAATGTAAACAAAAGTTGGATTTCATGGCCAAAAAATTTACATAGTAAAATCACTTAAAGCGTATGGTTCCATTTCACAAATATAATCATAAAGGGTGGATTTAAAACTTGTATTGTTTTTATGCTTTTTATATCTTATGGAAGTTTATTATAAAAAGATATACAAGAATATAATATAGGATTTAAATACTTTATTTTATTTTTACTCTTGATAGTATTTCATGTTTTCTTGTTTTTCTACTCCCCTGTATAATATTTTCGAATTTAAAGTATGGCACTAGACTTTTCAAAACAAGCAGAACTTTATACGAGCCCTAACAACTATATGTTGGAACAAACAACTAGTTTACAAATAAAACGCTAGTTTACAGAATCAATTTGATTTTAATGTTTTTATATTGTAGAATTGGAATTAGCAACATTTTAGATGTCATTTTATAACAGCCGTG